GGGCACCGCCACCGCACACCCGTCCACTTGTCTCGTTATTCGTTTAGTCACCAATTTATATTTTACACTGTGCGCCCGGCTGAACTGGTTATAAATAACCCACAAACGACGCACAATCATTCGGGCGGCCGCCCCGTGAGTTATGTACCGGCCGAGTGACTCGACTGTTGGCAATTTGTTACAGCCTTTTGCACCTTCCCCAGCCACCTCTCCTCGACAGTCCTACACACACAATTATTATTACTGTGTCTGTTGTACAGGTATATAATATGCAGTACACACAAACAACTGCTCTCCACACTGGTGGTGGTTATAATATTTTATACACAATAATAATAATACAAATACGTACAACTGGACGTGCCAAGCACCACACCACCGCCGTCAATGGTTGTATATCATATACCACAAAGGAAGGGTAAGGTCGGATAACAGTACGTTGGGCATCTAGCTGTGGTAATACAAATACAGCAGCGACGGTCGAATGAAAATCAAATAAAAGTCAACAGCGGTAAAAAAAAAAATAAAAATAAAAATAACAAAATGGGTTGGTAGAAGAATTGTTGGCCGTGGAAAATAAAGTGAGAATAATTTGTTAAAAAGCGACTCGTGTCCGTGTACTTAAGTGTATAATAAGTGCAGCTCGTGTTGGTTGCAAACGTTTTGCGTAAGTGCTTCTTTCCAACGCCGCCTATTTCCCAAAAGTCACCCTCGCCACCACCCACGCTGTTATTTTGTTCCTATATCTACCCTCGTTAAAATAACCAACATGTGACCGTCACGCTTATTATTATTATACTACCGTCTCTCTCTCTCTCTGTCTCTGTCGAAAACGTCAATAACAATACGTCATACGACGCATTTTGCCCGTCCGGTAATTCTTAACATTTATATAATATAAGCACATGCATAAGAAAAGCCTACATACGACGAGGTTTATGCGTGGGTTTTTCATTTGTGTAATATTTGTTTTCTCGACGTTCAAAAGTATATTATCGACTACAGTAGGTAACGATTTCTGACAACCACACGATATTTATTTTTACTCAAGTAAAAACGCGAAGCACGAGAGTTTAAAATTGTGTACAAAAAAAAACATCAGCAAACAGGAATTTGTAAAAATAAACATGTGTATCGCGTGGGTGTTGCACGAAACGATAAGACAGATTATAATATCATAAAGTAGTGTAGGTATAGGTTTAGACAAAAGAACTTTATGTGAATACAGTCCATTGATGGTGACAAGGAGTTATAAATGTAAAGAAAAAAGAAATGACCGTCGGACTGTTTCAACGTCAAATAGTTTATAAAAATTAACATTAAACTTTTTTAAATATTCTTTTTAAGCTTTAATATACGTCAAAAGCGGTTCAATTTACAAATTAAAGTATAAGTTTCCATCGAGTGTCTGTTTACTATTAAGCAGCTTATCCGACCGAATGTTATAATCGGATTTGCGCAACTAGAGTACTAATTAAAGGAATATCAATAACTAACAAACAATATATTCATTATCATAGGTTAATTGTATTCACATGTTCGTTTATACTATGTTATAGAATATAAGGACGTCTGACCTCTATCGTGTGGAATTAGCCAGAGAAGGAGAAGATACGACTTGAAGGGAGTCGCATCCTATTGTTTTCAGTATTATGTCGATCCAGTAAAATAGTTATAACACTGTTAGGTCGTCCTGTAATTGCATATGATAATAACAAGATTATAATATTACATCTTGGGTAATGCATTTGTTGATAAATAAAGCAAATTGGTATTTAAAACGGGGAAAAGGTTATTACAAGTATAATAATATATTTTTTCCATGATATTTTGAGGGACATTTTACTCAAATTGTTTCTATTTATATAACTATAGTGAACACAATACTGTATAATTGGTTCGTTTTGGCAATTTGGTAACCGTTAATAATTTTAATTAACAAAAAAAAACTAATCTATGCATGTACGCATAATATATTGGGTAATAAAAACATATCAAAGTCCTATGATGCATAAAAAACAAATATATTTACTATACCGGATAATTGGAAATTCCAATTAATTTTATGCTTTTGATTTTAGTTGACAGACATCAATCGTACCACAGACAAACACCATGGCGGTCACATGACTCAAAACGAAATCAGTGTGACCGCATATTCAAGTGTAAAAATTGTCGTGATAATATCTCGGATTAGATAAAAGAGAAATGATCTAATCTGTGATAATATAGTCAGTGCATCTTAAGACGGATAAGCCGGAACTTGTACAATAACGTTGTTGCGGCTACGCTGAATCTGAGCTGTACATATAAATCACTTAGAAGTACAATTAGAATTAAGACACTTACCTTACAAGTGTACGATAGGTATAAGTAAAACCGCACTACGTTGGTAATCGATTGTACATATAATGTATTGTAATTGGCCACGACCAGAGACGTTCGTTATGGTAATTTCAAATTTGAACAGCTCCCCAGAGTGTATGTCGGGTGTGCGCAGCCAAAATTATGATTTTTCACTACACCCAAAAGTACAATACATCGTCGAAGATTTGACACGCGCGTTAAGATTGAACTTCAACTAGTCGAGAGAAGCAGAATAATATTCAAAAATACAATTTATCACCGCAGTTAATCATGGCTATAGTGATGTATTGTATTCGGTACATAAAATAGCACTTGGCGTGTTCGCAACTTGTACAAAAGTAATTTATTCATTCAACTTTACAACATTTTTACTGTCGAGCGTTATATTTTCAAAAAAAAAAAAAGTTTTAACTTTAACTTTTAAAAAACATTTGTGATGCACACATTTGTAAAAAGGGTTTTACCGAAACAACGCAATAAATGTGTGAAGTTTAAAATATTATACACATAATAACGTATTATACAAAACGTCCATTTACTACTCGGGTTTTTGTTGAAACTAATTTTTTACTTTTTAAACAACTCTAACGAAATAAGCGCATTATATATATATTTTATTTTGCAAGCTGTAAACTGCAATTTGCTTTTTATTATGATTATAAAAATAGTCTGTGTTTGGTCGTGTCATAATTTGTAAATCATTTTTTTTTTCTATACTTATCATTCAACCGCATTTAAGCGAAACAATTAAATTACCAAGCTCTCGGCTGAATTTCCATAGAAATATTTTCACAATACTATCAGATTCATAAACCAGATATCGCAATCAATAACCGTACAATGGTTTCATCTGTTGGCGTTGTCGGTCAAGACGATATTTTATCGCCGACGGCCAACGTTGTATTTTATCCGTAGATATACTTTTTAAATCCTTTCGCGTTAAAAAACAAAATCAAATACCCGAAGCCACGGTGCAGCAGCAGCAGCAGCTTATTTGGCCGTACGCGCCGCCTGCCCACCTTTCTCCCGGGCGTGCGGCTTTCCCCGCCTTCCCCTGCAGCCAAAGGCTCGCGTGTACCGTGCAGAGGGCGCGAGGGAGGTGCAAAACCGTAATTCTTCATAAAACCCAAGATTTCGGCGTGTCTCGTTCGCAGCTCCAGTCGTAAATCACCGGAGTTTAATCAAAATGAATGGGCCGCCGGAAGTCGGAAGGCAAATACAAAAGTGTTCGGGCCGTGGGTGTGGGTTTTGACTGCGTGTGAATGCACGAGTGTGTGTTTGTGTATGTATGTATGTATGTACCTATGCCGGGGCATTTACTGTGCCTTTGATGGATTTCCACGCAAAACACACACACACACACACACATTACCTATAACGCACACATATCGCGCACAGGTATCGCAGCAACACATTGTGCTTAGACTATTTGCGCTGCTCGGTATTTGTCCGAGTCACGTTTTTTAGTCCAATTTTGTTTTTTATCGACGCCCACTGCTGACTTGCCTTTATCCACACACACGTTTTCGTTACTTTTATGAAAAAAATAAATCAAGCCATTTATAATGGCACGTGTGCACGTGTTGCCTGAGACGAGAAACGCGTTTGGGACAAACCCCTCGTTTGCAACAATAATTGTCGGTGCACCTTACTAAAAGCACTGTGGCGCACAACTCGGTCCGTGTAGGTTTTAACGAGGACGTGAGCTTTTGGGCTGGACCGTAGAAGAGCCAGTTTTACAATAATTGCTAAGACATCAATCCATGTCTTATCATTAATGTATAGATTTTACAGCAGACTGTATTAGTTACCGTTAAACACGTTCAAACAGTTTTGGTTGATATTAATTGTGGATTTTTTTTCACAGATCAATAAAAAAGGTGTTAATAGTTGAGACGACAGCGGATGAAATATGACGATTTATAGATATAACGTTTTATAAATAAACTAAAGCCCTTGGAGTTCCTTAAATATAGTCCCGAGTTGGCATTCTGTAGTTTCTCAAAGTGACAATTAAGTACGGCACAGTGTTACTCACAATTACTTACTCTTGCTCCGTCCATTATTGAACAACCAGTAAGATGGCGTTTTGGAGTCGGTATTCTTAGAATACTACCTATTCTATCCCGTGGCCGGGGAACACCGGTAACCGCAAAAGCCCTTAGAAACTTAAACTTAGTCTGATCGTTTGGTAAACTTCCGATTGTTAAAATGTACGTTTAAATTAGTCAGCACTTACGGTTGAGTTTGTATCGCTAATCCATTAAAACACAGTGTGAGGCACAAAGGGACGACCACTGTTTTGCGCACTGTTTAACAGCTATTACAATATTGAAGTTTGAGAATTATATTATTTAAATTAAACGGTCTAGAATACGCCAACAAACCGGAGTCACGCAGTATAGTTGCGAATGTTCAAATATTCCTTAAATATTTATCACGCAATATAATGTTTAAAAGGGACTGCATGCTGTTTGCTTTTGAAGAGTTCTGTATAGGCAATATTATACCGCCCTTCATTATTTTCAGTAACGGCTTCGGTACATACTGTACCAGTGTGTGGTTTGCGCCCAATTAATTTGTTTTTTTGTTTTTCATTACTACCGTAGATGCGTATAATATAAGGTACTTACAGCCGTGAGCAGTTGGGCGATTTCTTGGTAGACGGCGAAGCAGGATAAAAAAGGAGCCAGTATCACAACAATGGACGCGAATATCAGTATGTACAATCCTACGTAAACATCCCATACTTGAAGTATGTCGACCCACTCTTGGAGGGTCGTGTCCAGTCTTGTGTACACCACGTAGCCAAGTAGGAAAACCCCGGAAATCTGTAGGCAAATAACGACAAGAGTTAAACAAGTAAAAGTAAAAAAAAAAAAAAAACGCATACATTTTATCTAGCGATTCGTGTTACAAAACTTCTATAGCATCTTTCAGAAGCTGTTTCTTAATAACAATTACACAACTATTCAACAAAACTTATGATTTAAGTTGAATGACTATAATAATAAAAAAAAAAAATAGTATTTTATCAAATACGACCTACTCGTTTTATCGTGTTTTTACTTATTTAATTTTAGCTTCGACGCGTAGCTAAAAAAGGTATTGTCTTTAATAGTATGTGTTTCTATTTTTTACCCGACCACAAGATATTATCTTCTAAACCGCTTAACCGATTCTTCATGTAGCTACTCTATAGATCAGTAATTGTTCCTGAAAAATGTTAATAGGGTAGGAACTTATTCTTTAGTATTTCGCTTTTTCTTTAACTAACTATAACTTTTAGCACTTCAGGTCTGCAAATTAAACGCAGGATAGGTTTAGTGTGGGGCTGTAACATGTATAATTTTCTTAAAAATCTTAAGTCAAACTTTGTTTGACTCCTCCCCCCCCCCCCAATATGCCAGAATATAATATGTTCCTCTTGGTGAAAATTGCAATGCTACGTTACCCGTTAAATGTAAGTAGTATACGAGATTTGTGTTTCGGTGCACGTTTGTGTCGCCAAGACATTGCACCAGCACAAAACTTCTCTCGACAAACGTTTCGCTGTTGTGCGAGTCCTAAGTGTGCGATTCAAAAACTTTTGCACGTCCATCATATAGTAGTACAAGTTGCTGCCCGGTGATCGTCTTACATACAATGATCTTAGACAGACATTGCTGATCACCGTTGCGTGGTGCGCTTACTAAACAATTTTAGAAACAACCGAAAAGTTCTGAAAACGAGAATTGCTAATATAAAACGTACACACAGTCGACTTGACGTCGCCGGATAGGAAAAAGAATACAAAACTTGTATCGCCAACAACAGCTAAAAGCTTTAGCTACATACATAATAATATATACTATTCCTTATTATATACTATGACGTCGAATACCCGGTATCAATTATGGTGGCAATGTTTTTTTTTCTTCTACCCCGACACAACGAATTCATTAAAAGTTTACAGATTTTAATCATCCGTCCCAAACCCCGCCAGCCTTGCTTTATTTGAAAAAGTTTTTTTTTCCTATCCGGAAAGAGGAATGGGCCTAAAGTTTTCCGTTGCTTAACTAATTCGCACCAACACCTACATTTATATCAGTCATGGGTTTTTATTTATAGATGTATACATTATGTGTATTCCAAAAGTTTCACACTATTTTGCTACTTCTTCAATGTGCTAAGAATAACTAAACGCGCTTTATTTCGTCGACAAGGCGGGCTGAGAGAAAGAAAATTTTAAATACTTACTTTACTAAACAAATAATCTTATGTTTGTTAATAATTCATCATATAACTGATGATGACTTTGATCGTGATTACTTTTTTGTATATTTATAAAACTTTTGTTTTTTTTTTTAAATAAAAAGTGCCCAACCGCAGATGTGGTTTAATCTACTATTATAAAATATCGTTCTTGTCGCAGCATTGCATTGTCTTTTTGTAGTATATTTTTTTTTAAACTGTTGTACATTCAAAATATTGACTCTGATCGCTTTGCCGAAACTAAAAAAAACAACTATTTTTGTGAAGTAAAGGTTACATACATATTTATTATGCCTGCCAATTACGGTACCTATCTAAAACGAAACGTTTCCTGTGTACAGTGTGCTGGCTATAAGCTCTCGGTGAGTAACATCAACTTTGGTTTCTTATATGACCACAAATTACATATCATAGGAGTGGTATAACGGACCACTACCGCTGGTGTAAAGGAGTGTTATTGTTGTTGCGTTGTAGTTTTCAGGTGAAAGGTCGTACCGATAAAACGACCCTAAGTCGTTACGACGTCCGCCATAATACCAAAAGCCTTGGGAGGAGGTTAGCCCCCCCCCCCCCCGAAGCACCTTTGATAGGAACTTTGCTAATTAACGGATTACTACTAAGAGCCCCGGGGCAACGCGACCGCACTAATAATGGATCTACCGAAAATGCTCTTGCGCCGTATTAACGTATCCATCAGTCCATCCGAAAGCCTTCTTCTGCTACTTCCGCACTATTTTCTGTCTTCTCCCCGAACAGCTCTTAAGGGGGGCTTTCGTGACAATATCGATAAACGACACCGCCGGCCCAGTTTCGTTTGACAATAACAAATAACCATAAGGCGTAGGTACAAATAGTTATAGCAATTGATAATTGGCAATTCACTCACGTTAGTATATTTGCAACCTAAACATACAGAGTGATCATTTTATCGTCAACCACACGAGGTAAGGTGGAGTGTAGTATTATTTTTATCTTGAAACCAATGAGATATCGAGTGGTTTACGATAAAATGATCACCCTGTATTAATATGTGTACATAAAAAATACAATATTTGATTATCTTTCTAATATAACTTGAAGTTAGAATGTAAATTGTTTGTATCCGTTTGATAAAATGTACTGAAATACATATTTCGAGAAAAGTTTAGCCTTTGTAGAACTTAAAATTAATATTACCCTAAAAAATGGTAACTTTATAGTGCGTTCAAGTAGAGCTCAGTATTTACAAATAAAATATTTGTTAGGGTCTATATGGGCTGTAACGATGTTAGTGACTGACACAAATATAATAGCCTTCAGATAGCAAACAACTGAGTAAGTTGAAACGATGAAAAAACTTGGAAGTCAAACTTGGAACCATTTTTGTTACTTATATTTATGTTTGTCTTTACCTGGATAGTTTCGACCGGGAGCGTATAATAATATAGTGTTTTCAAAATAAAAATAATATACATGAACAATAGTATTGTGGTGCTATTATATTATTGACTATATTATTGTATTGGACAGTCTTCTGCCGTCTTTTGCCACAACAACTGCTAGACGAGAAATTGTATTTAAAATTCTAGATTAAATAATGAAACAGCAAAGCATTGGTTATACCTGGATATTATTTTTGTAGAGGTAGAAATCGAATGAAATGGAATGGAAACAAAAAAAAATCTCATCCTCCCGCCATAAACAAAATCGTTATTGAATAATAGTGATAATAATATGCGTACACTGAACCAAACCGTTTAATCTGTTATTTAAATAACGTTATTTTTTTAATGTTTTCCGAAAGTAGAGCAGAATAAATATATATATATATATTGTAAGACCGTGATCGATACGAACCGAGAAAAATGTATATTTTTAATGTTCACAATATTCATATATTTCACAAGTCTTATCGATACCGGAAGAAAGCCGCATCCTCCTCCTTCACCTCTGGAATTCTTCCATTTACAAAAAAAAAAAACTATTTCCAAGCAGCTGCACGATAGCAGTTGATCAAAGAACGCGTTTAATATTAATAACTGTCGTTGTCTCTATAACACTACAGCGGGGCCAATATTGTCCTTGTACTCGGTGAATTGATTATAATAGCTGTATCATTAACTTACCCGAGTGAAGTTTATATATTTTGTTATTAAAGTATATCTACGGTAATTATTATTATTTTCGACTAAGGCATTTCTTTATAATAAATAGGAATTTAAAGTTTCAAAGGAATTTTCAACATAGTATTGAAACTCTAAAACTTTATTACAACTTTACGAACCCACTCTAGTGTACATAATAATTCATTATTTCTCTCGTCGAAATACTCCATTTTTCATTTCGATTTTTTTTATTACTCGGAATGCGCTAAAGAAGAAGTTATGTAAGTGTCTGGTACATTGTATTATTATTTCCAAGTACTTGAAAATAAAACCATTTAGTCTTAACTTTGAATTTTCTTCTTTCAATGTTACTAGCGTTCCAATAGTTTTGTAATTACGTTTAGAGCTTAAAAAAAACAATAACGCCATAATACTAATATGAAACAAATTTCAATCCAATTTTATAGTTTTTCATAAAGTCATAGCCTGGTTTATTTTGAAGTTAAGGAAACATATTACCTATGTCCATTTGTTTTTTTCTAGTTTTGACTTTTTCCCAACTTCCGAAAAGCTTTAATTGGTGAACTATTTCTGATTTCTACCCATAACGGTATGTATTAAATAATATCAAGTTAACATCGGTCCAGCAGTTGACAATTAAATGAGGGTGAAAGTCAGTTGACTATTTACATAAGATTTCCAAAGGTTTCTTATGTCTATCAATGGTTGCCGAAGATTTTTCAAGATAGTTATATTGTATGTAGTATTTAATTTGTATAATTTGAACGGTGTAACACGCTTTAAGAAGTGGATAACGCCAAGGAAAATTGCCCGAAAGTATTATCGTTCAAGTGACCGCAATTGCTTGGTCTATGAAATTTATGTTTTTTTTTAAATAGGTCGACTGAAAACGGGTCTCGGAGTACCATCTGGCTGTAATTGACTCGGTTAACTCGTTATACGCGCCCAGCATTGTAGTAGCAGCTATTTCAGTGTTATTTCTCCAACGGATATTTTTAATTAATTAAGTTCAAACGAAATATCGCACTATAACGGAAATTAAACCGAACGGTTATTACCAGCACTGATGTCTAGTAGCAAGATAAAAAAATAAAAATAAAAAAGAGATCATTAAAGAGAAAACTGTTGTTAACCAGACTGGAATGTGCCAATTTGGTTCTAAGGAAATCTAATTTCACCCGAGCCCAGTGATACCGGTAGGTAAAAGCATTCCAAAACGTTATATGCCAAGACTTAAATTACAGGTACTAATTATTTTACAAATACCTGCACTCGCCGACCGTTATCGAAGACGGTGTACGAACAACAAAAGAACCAACTAAAAAAAAACGCATAAAAAACGTTTCACACGCCACATGTAAAGTTCTTTAGGTGATAATTGAAGTATTTCTACAATAAAAATTAAAATAAAATCCATATTTTCATGAAACTCGTGGGATTTCCGAATTTATATTTCCTGACTGTCCAGTGTA